CAGCAGCAGCATGTTAGCCATCTACAGGACAAATCCTGGTCTGAACAATTCATGTATTTTTATTCCAGGGAGGATGTAAGCAGAGAAATGAAGTGACAGCTGTGAATTATGCAAGAGGTAATTGACCACACCATATTTTGCTATGACTGTAGACTTGATTCTCTGCGACCTGGCATCCAGAGTAGCTATTTGCACTTAGGTGCTAGGAGTGCAACATGGGTGGAACTCGGTACTATAAAGTTGATTACAGAGATCATATTTTGTGGACTAGCTATGAAGGAATTTGTCATACACAGCAACATGCAATTGTGAATTACACCTACTGCCAAGAGTGCTCCAGATCCTCTGGGATGAGACATCAGACTAACACAATGCATTGTCCAGCAAAAGGTAAACCACGTGGCTAATTGTGTTCCTAACTGTTAGTATTTCCATGACTGAGCAATCTCGAGTCTTGAGTGCAGCGTGCAGACTCTCTTGCCAACACCTTCTCAAAATAGAAGGTGGATTGAGAAGGTTTCTTAACTAGAACCATTATATTCAGACACCACATTGCTGATCCTTTCCTCCTGCTCCTGCATACCCAAGGCACAAGCCATACTGCGAGAGAAGCAAAGGCCAACTCCATCCGACACTTTCAGCTTCTCTCAGCCTTAACATGCCATTTGGAGCCAATGTGATGCCAATACAGCCAGAATATTTTCCAGGAGACTTATTTTTTGTTTAAGTGGACATCCTATTTTCAGTCAGTTCCCTAACAGGGACTTCAAAGCCACTAGGCTACCATTGTGGGGCAATATCCAAAATTCTAAAGTCTCCTAAACCTTAAAATGGGAGGATGTGCCACAGAAGTGTCTCTCTCAAACTTCTGGGCTACATAACAGATTACATCAACACAACCTGTGCAACACTAAAATGAGCAAGCATCTCAAAGCAAGATGGGACACGGAAGGACATTCTATGGAACGCATAAAACCAAACTCAAACAGCATGAAAAAAGTAATTTTTATTTTTATTGTTTACAAAAGCATGAACACTTTATGCAAAAGCAGCATCCTGAACCATACATTTCCCCATCCTCCCGGGATATTGGCAGAAAGGAAGTGTTTTCTCTGTTCTTTAGGGTTAAATGTACTCTGCTGAGGCAAACGGGAAATAGCCCACCAGTCTCCATGGAGCTCCAACTGCTTACATGAGCAAAGGGGCTGACTCACCAGGCCACAACACAATGAGATGTCACAGAGTGACTTGCTCTAGGTGCCAACTGGCTTAGTCTGTGCTTCTAATTGAGATGAATACACTATCCAGATACTTCATAAGCTCCTAATTCTCTTCAATTTCAACTGAAACAGATCCAGTTCTAAATACCTGTTTAAACATTATGACTCTCATCCCATACTAACTTCACACAAGGCTTAACTTTATGCACTATGAACCATTTTACTCAAGTTTTTAACAGATACCAAGTGTGCTCATAAGCTATTTCAGGAGTCAGACCTTTCAGCACAACAGCTATTTACTCCTTTCTTACCTGCCTCCCCAGCACATGAAGGTCAAGTGCTTATTCTGAAGAAACGTGCCCTAAGGTTAACCAGAAAAAAAAGTATGTAGTGTTTTAATTTTGCCTTCATCTTTTTCTCCCGATCTGGAGCTCGAAGTAGTTAATGGTCATATAATCAAAAGGTCATGCTTTCGAACCTACAGAGAAACATTTACTTATCTGCTTATTAAAAAAGTGTTTAATTAAACAGAGAATTTGATTGCAATGACTTCAAAGACTTACCTGGAGTGAATTACTCATACTGTTTCCTAAAATGATCCCTACAATAAAACAGCATAATTTCCCAGCTCCTCTTGAGCTGAGATCCCTCCCCCCAGAATCTACAACTGATACCTCAAAATATTTATTACACTGGGAGAAATGGCTCTGGTTTGTCTGCCATCCTGAGTCTAAAATGTCTGACAAATACTGTTTATGTCTGCAAGACTGATATTGGCTCTATGGATCAACAAAAACTGCTTTGTTTCACTGCTCAAGCTGTAGGAACTGTTCTATTAGTTCCTGTCAACTTCATATTAAAGAAATATAATTTACTTCACATATTGAAAGAACCTGCTAAGAACCCATATATATATACACACACACTATGTATGTGTACACATAGATATATACACATACACATATATAGATAATCTGTATTTGTTTTACACTGACAAAGTGCTAAAAGAATCCAACAACTGTCACTGCTAGAGATGAGGCTAAATTAAATGGTACTACTTATATGGCATCAAATAATTATGAGACAGACTCTGGTCCAAGAGCTTCAGAGTTTCCAACAGTTTTACTGTTAGCTAAAAAGTATCTTTCATTGGCAAAAAATAAAAGTTCCAAATGGTTTGAATTTCACTTTTAAATAAATTAGAAGTGTTTAGGAAAAAAAAAAAAAAATCCCATGCAAAATAGATTTCATAAATTAAATTTCAGTTCTGTGTATAGCAAACACACATTTATACATATGTTCTACCACTTTCACGGCAAAATTCTGAGGTGCCTTGGACTCAGTGATGACCTTAATGAATCTGGCAGTATCTCACATGTGCACTGTTGCCTCAGATTTTGAAGAAGAAAAAGCTGTACAACTTCAGCCCTGTATTCTTGAGTCTGGCTACATAGTCAGAATCAGAAGTATTGCACTCAAGACCATGCCTATAAAAAATGCACATTTAATAAGGCCATTATATTCAAGATCATAACAGGACTCAAGTCACACTAACAATCAAATATATCATAAGTAGACTCAAGAAAGCCATATTGCAGAAGATGGACTCAAAACAGCAGTGTTCCAGCAGTTTAATAACTGTTTGGATTTGTTTGGGGTTTTTTCCCCCCCATGAAATGCCAATCTCTCAAACAGGTTTTACCCACAGGGCCAGACAATAGGAAGTGTACATATGCATGCATTCTCACAATCCCTTATTTCATTTTTCTTAAAAGCTACCAAGTGTCCCAAAGTTTGAGGGTAGGATTTTACTGAAGTTCTGCCAATAAGGCTCAAGTCATTATCAACTTTAAGAAGCTTCCATGCATGATGAGGGGAAAGAAGATTTGACTTTCAGTTACTTAAATATCTGCCAACATGCAAGACATAATTCTTACTTTAAAAAGTGTAGCAAAGACATAATTGAACCTGTACTTGTATACTTCTCAGTATGTTCTTTCAGAGCTAGATCATATTAAGAGTATCAGTTTATCTGATCTGGCTTACTGAAAGCCAGAGGATACAACCAATTTAACATAATACAAGGAATGATACAGATTTACAAGTTAGCTGCCCACATCCCATGGCAAATAGAAAGCAGCTACCCTTTAATCAAAGTGGGTAAGCTACCTTGAATTTACAGTAGGGTAAGTGCATTCACATCAGCTGTCACTTTGGAGTAGCAGGTATGCTGTAAATCTGCTAGCTTGCTTTGCAGTTATTCGCTCCTTTAACCATTCCAAAGTTACCCAATCAGCCAGCATTTTGGCTTGGTTAAGGGTAGTGGCATTTGTCCAAGAAGGAAGGGTAAGCCACTATCCCTCTTCCCCATGCCACACCACGTAAATACATAGAGTTATGCAATACAAAAAGCATCAGTATAAAGGCTGGAAGAAGCACAAGACACAGCAGATAGGAAACTTAATGGTCACATACATTACAGTTCAGCAGAGACATTCTTTCACAATCCTATATTCTGCCACAAAATCCACAGTGGTGGAGATGAATGAACTACCTTCCAGCTGAATCAGCTCCAGCATTGGGAACTATTTCCGAATACAACAGACTAGATCCAACCCTTTCTTATCTAGGACCTGTTTTTTGGGTTTAGATGGTTTTCAGTGTAGAGACGAGAGACAAATCTGAGACACGGAAGATGTGACGTGTTTGCTTATTATAAACATACAAATGGATAAACGAGATGCAAAAATTATTACATTGTGTCACACTTCACACTTACAGCTCCATGTACTTTTTTCCTTCAACAATGGCGTCACTTCCCAGATGCAAGTTTGTCACTAACAATGAATATGTTTTTGACCAGAGCTGGGAGGAATGCATTTAGACAGGAATAGCACAGCTCCAGCAGTGATGAGCAAGGAACATGTGAATTCAGGATATGATTTCTAACTCCATCACTGTCTGACACCCATTGCATGCTGAGCAGCTCAAAACATCTCCCTTAGTAATCAGATTATTTGGAAGGAGAATAACTCTTTCCATATTTTCTTCACAAATGAAGCAGTAAGAAGTCCAGTAATGTACCACGTAAGATTCATCTTCTTTCAAAAGGCTTTCATCAAAAAGGCTTCTACTTATTTTAGCAGTTCTGACTAAAAAAATTCTTAGTGTAATCACTTTGTCAATTAGGTTGAAGAGAACTGAGAATACTTTGGGAATGGTGTTTCAGAAGCCCATCTCTAGCATTCACATTAACATGGTGTCCTGACTACTAGCAATACTTTGTCTGCAAGTGTCTAAATAGATTTTGACAGGTATCAAGCAGTAGCAGCATTTTCAACATTTTATGTTTGCTGTATTTAGTACATTTTAACCAAATTCTCCCTCCCAATAAAGTGACTGTCTTGTAGTTAGTATGACTACCTATAAACACAGCATTTCTAAATGGAATTACATACTGTTGTTTTCTCTCCACCATATTATCTTACCATTTTCTGTATCAGTCAGCACCACAGGTTTAATGCAGGTCATGGACAACAAGCAGCAGACCTACTTTCACTGCTTGCTTCAAACAATGTATGGTTTCATATTTATACATTCTTAAAATGTTTTCTTCACTTAGCTATAAGTAAAAGTACCACTCCAAAATTTAAGTTTACATTGAAAAAGGTTATTAATAATTTGACCAAGAAATACTGCCAAAAATTCCTTTTACTCCCACAGAAAATAATATTTTATCCTGAATAGTGTTAACAGATATTTATATTAGAGGACTCTGTATTTCAGAAACCAGTTATTTAATGCTCAATATTCTTTTCATCAGATGAAGAGGTAGGTATATGTCCACACAAGAAAAAAAACAAAACAACTGTAACAGACACTCAAGTAAATCAAGTAATGTCTGAAAAGTCAAACACTGTTCTGACAGCACATAAACATAATGTGTCTGAAGATACACTCCAAGGAGGACAAGAAAAGTTTGATTAGATAATACATCATAATTTGAAATTTAATAATTTTCTGGAAAGAAAACACAAGTATCCAAATGCTACTTCCTTCCCCCCCCTCCCCCAAAGAAATGTGGGTGCCAACAAAACTGCTTGTATCAATGGTAGTATTAACTTTTGGACTGCTAAACATGGAATCAACTGCAATTCTTCCTTACATTCACCAACACCAGCAGTCTACAAGTTTACACAGAGACCATATGCATGATAATTACATAATTACAATAGAAATTCAACTTTAGTGTTGTTCTTAAAACAATCTCCATAAATAATGAAAATACCTGTGTTCTAGCTCTTCAGCAACCTAAGGTTAATTGGTACAGATAGTGTTTTTTTCTTCCTTTTATAAACCAAACTGGAGGTTCCTCACTGCCAACAATGGTTAAGGCCTGGATCAAGTTACTCTCCTTTTGCTTTTCCCTTTTTCTGCTTTTTTCCATTTTCCACCATTGCATTATTTTCTGGCTTGCTTACTCCATTTGCAACAGCACCATTTGCTATTTTTCCATTCTTTACGGGTTCCTTGGGCAGTTTATATGTCCGATAGTAGAAGTTACCAAACAAGAAAATGAAGGTGACCGCATAGAAAATTACACCCCAGTGCATCCATTTAGGGAAAGGACAATCAATATAAATAGACAAGGCTGTGTGGCCAATAGTCACATGGAACTGCACCTGAAAGACAGAAAACACAGAATCAAAAAGGTCTGGGTATATTCTGCAGGTCTGACTGCACCAACGTGTACCGATGCATTAAGTCATTTGGGAGGCAGTAGGGAAGCTGTATTTGGCTGTCACATTGTGCACACACACATATGCTTGACCAGGGACACCAAGTTTATCACAATACCTGGCACCAGTTTTCAGAAACAGAAAAGTGAGAAGACATTAAGAGATCTGGATTTTCTCTACCTTTTCAAAAGGTTTTTGCAATTCAAGTTGAAGCAACCAGTAAAGTAGTATTAGACTTTACTCACACATCTCTTATCTATGTTGCATATTTTTTGAGAAATTAAATAAATACTTCCATCTCTAGGAAGTATTCTAACTTGAGCTGTGAGTATCAGACAGCTAAGAACTTTTGGAAGAAGCAGCATCTGTTCCAAACCTCTGGAAATGCAAATCCACTCAGATACAATACCTTCTGAGATAAAAGGAGAAATTTTACTTACCAATTGCAATATGGTCAAGTATCGTTTCCACCACAGGTATTTCTGAAATTTAGGGCCACAGGCAGCTAATCCATAATACATGTACATAATGACATGAATAAATGCATTCATCTGAGCTCCAAAAAAAGCTGTTCAGGAACAGAAAGGAAAATTGTAATGTAATTTCGAAAAAAAAGAGAGAAGTCTTTTCTAGTATTATTCATGTGATAGTAAAAATTATAAAGCACAGGATATGCCAGGATTCCATCTCTGAAATATTCAATAGTATAGTACAGACCTGACTGCCAGCATGTGCTGACACAAATAACTGTTCATGCAAGTAGTGTGTCATATCTTTCATGGAACTATGCACGCAAAAGCTTTTCATAAGACTTTTGTCAAACAGACAAATCACATGGATTCCACATTAGTTACATTGGTTATTGTAGTGTAATGGCAAATGTTTTGCAGTTTATTAAAAGCTGTATTTGACAATCTAACATATCAGGTTCTGAACTTAAATCTTTGAATTGTATTTAAATGCACAAGGTTCACTTCTCAACAAGAAGTCAAAAAACTCACGAGAAAGTCTAAATAGGCCAAAAAAAAAAAAAAAATCACACAAAGCAAAACTTCACTTGTGGTTGTAAGACATTTAAGGGCATTGACAAGTTGAGTTTGTCTAAATCACTCATCTTTAGTTTTCTTATATGGCTTTAAACATCCAGAATTCTTAAATATATAAATGCAGAGTATAACTTTTTCCAGAATGATCCACACTGGAAATGAAGATGACAGTTCTCATTTGCATTAAGATATCTTTGCTTTGTTAACATTAGCAGCTATTTGGCAGAAAAAAAAAATTATATATCTTGTTAAGGTATTCTTACATTGCCAGAGAAGCTCAAAAAGGCTCTGCTGTATAAGATTAGGGCAATAGAGACAGTAGCTGCTGACAGCAAACAGCTCAGATGCCCATGTGGTCTAAACCCAGTTAGTTATAATAGGGTCTAGTTTATAATAGATCTGTCTGTGTAAGCAATATCCTATCAACTAGAAAACAGAAGAACACAGATCTACCCACGTTTACGCAGTAGCGTTACATAAATGCAGAAGAGCAACTGTTGCTTTTCCTTTGGCAGTGGCTAGAAACTAGTAGGCAGTGCAAGAACACCAAAATTTGTAACAAATTGGAAAACAGTTGCAACTGTTGTATTGAAAACTGCTGGTATTTAGCATGAAAAGCCTGAAAAGGCAACAAGGGATAATGCATTTTGAGATACTGAGGGAATTTCTAAGTAAGACTACAAGTAAGCATCCAGTCTCCAGTAAACTTATTTTATGGGTAGACTAGCCAATAAAGATTATGAAATGTCTGGTTGAGTACCTGCATCCTGCAGATTACTTGGGAGAAATTCAAGTATAGTCACAGATACTCATTTTAAATATTTCTTCTTTTGAATGTAAGTAACCACTCAGTACAAGATATCTATAGTAAATGAGAGCATAAAACCCCCATGCATTAAGTATTAGTGTGATTTGACAAAGCCACAAAATATTAGTTTGGTGTGGTGTTTACTATTTGTTATTTTCAGTGTGTTAAGCCTACAAAGCACATTACAAACAAAACAGGGCATTTCCCCAGAACTCTCAGCTCTGTAGAACTTATAATTTGAGAGAGACAGGGCAAAACAGCAGGAACAAGGGTACAATGCAGGCAAGGGAAGATGGGGCAAGTACAATGGAATAAAATTCTTTGATGGGGGCTTTAAAAAGGAAGCAAGGGGAAAAAAAAGGCTGACAACGAATTATAGACTTGTGTCATTATGAATAGGTTTTAAAAGTTGACAGATCTATTGGCTCACCTTCAAGGGAAGGTTTCTGAATTTTATACGTGCCTCTTTATAAAAAATAAGGCAAACCCCAAACTCAGATACAATGTCAAAATAATATCTCCATTAACTTCAATACATTTGCACACAGATTGTGGCCCGTAATTAGATTTTGCAGTTCTCTGTATATGCAAAAATTAAAGTTAGGCAAGACACGTTCATCTTTCTATTTCACACAGAAGAAGGATAATTTTGAAGACAGAACTTCAGGCTTTCAATTGATGCCAATGACAAAAAAAAAGTTTTGCAATTCATTAGATTATTGCCCTGTTATCTCTTCCTCCCCCACGTTTCCCACAGAGGAAGACTGCACGCATTAAAACTACTGCACTGCTTCAGTGCTATTTAAACACCCTTGTATTTTATAATGTTAAGTCTATGAAACCTTTTTTCCATTGCCCCCAAACAATAGTTCTCCCTTGTGTCCAGTCAAAAGGGTATGGGAGGAAAGGAACTCACCTTGTCCACCTGCAACCCACTTAATACCAATCCACCACAAGGTGAACATGGTGAAATGGTGATAGACATGAAGGAAACTAATTTGGTTAAATTTCTTCCTCAGGATGAAGAATACTGTATCCAAATATTCAATTCCTTTAGAGACATAATACCACCATAAAGCAGCAGCTATCTGCAATGAAAAAAAGACAAAGAAGTTTTAGTGATTCCAAGCTGAATGGAATAAAGTTCTCTCCACCTACCTGCTGCAAGAGAAGGATATCCCTTCCTTCCCCAAATCCTGGTAAATGTTGAGGTGGAGTCATCAGACACCTGATGGTATGAGAACAATAACAAAAACAATACTCCCTCTATTCTGGACATGGAAGTATTATTCTGAGTCTACTGCTCACAAATTACAATCATAAAAAAGAGTTAACATAATTAAAAGCTTTGCCATCACTGAACAGTTTGCCAGTTAAACACAGGGAGTTTGTGTCCTCATTCTCTATCCCATGCTTTGCGGGAGAAGACTACCACAGGGCTTCCTGTACTAATGAGGCAATACTTTGATATGGTCAGAACAATGAGGCAGAAATATTATGATAAAACAAAGTTGCAAAGGCTGAAACCTTATATAAAGTTCTTTCAGTACCACAGGCATATGGGTGGGAAGATAGCAAATCACTTTCACAAGCTAGGTGCGGTGCAGATTTCACATCCCTTAGAGCAATATTCCCCTCAGCTTCTTCTGGCTTGCTCAGGAACCCCATCTAGAAAGCAGTGTTACCACAGTGGCTCTGTACCATTCAGGGAACAGAAGAAATGAGACCACAGGAACCACACAAGCTGCAGAGATATAACCCATCTGCCCAACTCTGTAGTGCTACACACCCAAAATTCTTTTCCTAATCCACCCATCACAGTGCATCTTGCCCAAGATGCAACATAAACATGGCTTCTTACTGAAACAGGATACTGTTGTACCAGGAAAAGCCCAGAAGCTCTGCGTAGCAATTTGCTAATACTATGATATGGAAGTACGGTGGCAACGGGGACTCCCTTTCAGATCCAAAAGCATAGCAACAAGTCTAGTTTCTGGCATCATAAGTCATCTAGCTTGTTATGCAAGGGTGGGACCAGAATATATCCCAGACAGTGACTCACACAGAGAAGGGGGGCGGGGGGGAGTTTGAAACAGCACTACCAGCAAAGAAAGCAGGTAATGTCACAACGCATCTATTTGTAAGAAGTTCACCTGGTGTTTCAGGACTCATCTGATGGCAAATCAGACTTTCTTACATTAATATGATTTGAAAGAACCCCACCACCCCCTCAGTCCCCAAGACAGACAGAAGAGAAAAAGTTAAGACAGCAGTAGCTTCCCTTCCCAAATAGACACATAGTGAGGCAAGCGAGAGAAAGGGGAATCCGGAGAACAAGCAGCACAGAGCAGTGCTACAGCCCTGCACAGTGTTTTCCTCCACCTCTTCACACTAGCGGGAAAGGAACGCAGCTGTCCTCAGAGTAAGTTTGTCACAGCCATAATCGGACTGGTGAACATTCTAGGAGAGATGACAGCAAAAGAATAAAAGCAGCACAGGAGCAGAAGAGTGCTGCACATCTGCATTGCAGACTCTGCAGTTTCCCAAAGGGACTGCACAACTTACTGTTGCCAAACTGCAGACTTCAACGTATCCATTAATGAATGCCCTTCTTAATTTCTGAACCTGATTTAGCCTACTTTGGGTCTCAGGAAGAGGAGGCAGATTTTGTTAATTTTATATAAAAAGAAACTAATATCTGTCAAAGTTGGAGAGAAGCTTAATGAGAGAAAAGTGACTCCCACAGATCTCAGAGTTCCCAGGCCACACAGGCAAGCTGCAAGAACCATCAATATGTATCAAATTGCTCAATATCCAGTACAGCTTTGCCACTGGGACAGGTAATCGGGTTTTTAATAACACCCACATCAAGGCTTCCTCTCACACCCATGGATTAGCATAACAGTCCAGCATCTTTTACAGATCTTTGCTAAGGCTGTATCTCTTAAATAAATTGAGATAAGCATCTTTTCTTCTCATGAGCTAACAATAAACACTTTGGACTGTATCCCTAAAAGGACAGGCCAGCACTGCAATGCTCAAGCTCTTTGGAGGTCTTTCTTTCAGATAAATTTTTAAAGAATCAATAGGTCAGTTACAAGCAAACTACCACAAAACGTCTTAAAAGCCAATGTACATTTTGTTAAAGGAACAGTGAAACAATAAGCCAAATGCCAGTGAGCAAATAGCCAACTTACTGTATGACACAGACCAAAATTTAAGTGAAGAAAAATCCAACAAAAAGCCTTACGTCTTATGCCCAAGATGCCACAAGTTCACTATATGCTCCTGGACAAGTCATTTAACACACCTCATTCCTCTTCTTTGGAATTCCACCTGCCTTGTACAGAAAGCAATTACAGCCCATGGATCAAAACCAGCCAAACTTTTGATCAAAATCTTCCCATCACTTAAGGACAGAAATAGCCTCCATTTCTTTGCAGGATTATACTGGCTGATTTTTGTGTTCCTGTAGATTTTTTTGCCCAACAGCTCTTTTGCTCTCTACCTGTCATCAAATTTTACTACCATTTATTCTCAAACCTGATAGGTTTCACATAGTGATGATCTATTTCAGTGCTCCAAATGACTTGTGCAGGTGTTTTGATCATTAGCTTGTATATGCAGAAAAAAATGAAATAGATGTTAAATCATTTGCTTGAGGTCATGCATGCAATCAGGGACAGAGGAGAAATAAAGTAGAACAATACACCAATAGGTAAGCTGTTTCAGGAGCAGATGGCTACTATTAAACAACTTCTGCAAAATACCCAAGGTGAGGACCTAACCTGCAGCCTTTCTTTGGACACAGCATGAACGAAAGATTTAGCTTAAAAGAAAATTTGCACTAAAAAGGCATATTCCTAAAATGAATACTACTAGTAACCACCGTACCTTTTTTGGCAATTTTCAGGTGTGCCAATCTAAGTCTGTTAAAACACCAGATGGCACAGAAGATTAATTACAGCCCAGTCCCATGACCTCTGCCTGCTGCAGGGCTTTTGAAGAGAGGGTTGTTTTAACATGGGAGTCCATTCCTGCACCCTCCTTCCTCATTTCAGGTTGGAGACAGTTATCCATTAAAGGGTTTAAAGGGAGAAGTACATCTTAGAAGGTAACAGACTCTTTTCCCTGCTTCACTTATTGAATTTTGTTTACAGGACCATAAAGTCTATTTTGTTAAGTCTAGTTCCCTTTTCACAGAAGTTTAAAGTGTATTATTATTATATTTACTTCATAAGAGGAAATTACTCAAGCTTTAGACATAAAAACAGACAACACAGATTACAATAACAATACAGAAGACAATCATAGCTCAGCCTTATGATTACAATCAGCAAACTTAAAACTAGGAATTAACTAAATCACACAGCTTCAGATTCCTAAGTCTCAGCTCTTCAGATATGCTAATAAAATAGATGAACCTTGATTTGGGAAACAAGGATACACAAATGTAAGCAGAAGGGGAAAGTGACTAATCACAGACACTGACATGCCTTAAGTTAGTGTTAGGAAATTGTTCACCTCAAATACTGGAGCTTCCAAAAGAGTACTACAAAGCATGGATTTAACACCTCAGCCCTTTGTGTTTATTATTTTGACTCCTTAACTATAACCAAAAAAGTTCTTCTGAGAGGCAGCTGCAGCTCCTTCAAAATCCCTTCTCAGGGTTTTGTTGTCCCGTTTCTTTCTTGCCCACTAGGAACATTTTCATTTTTCATATAACCAATTACAAAACACATTCTTCAACTTCCTACCAGCACTCAGTAAGGTGGCTACCTACTACACGGAGAAGATAAGTCCTTTAAAAACGAGTTTATTTCTGCAACTGTGGCATCTAATTTCTCCTGCTCGTTCCAGTCATCCATTCCCTCTTGTAGAACAACAGTCAGGGGGGCCTGGATGAGATTAACAGGTGTAGGTAGGTTCAAAACAGTAAGAAGGAGGATCAACTTCATACTATGTGTAAACCATCTACAGAATTACTTGTCAGTGACAGCCAGGAGCTTCATAAACTTGAAGAAAACGTACAGACAAATTCATTAATATCCCCTTAAAAACTGGCAAAACGAAGAGGCAAGGTCTGACTTAAGAGGTCTGTGAGCTACAGATCGCTGGTGTTGCTGCATAATACAGGGCAAGGGCCACCAATGCCCTCACACTGTTCACTTGAAATCACCATTGGTTTACTGTCTTGACACACAATGTGGGTTGGGGAGGAGAGGAAAGATGTGCTCTGGCACCCAGGATAGCCAAACTTTATTATTTTTTTAATTTTTTTTTTTTTTTTAAACTGTTTACCAGCTCTCCATAGTCCCTCAAGGAACAAAGGATGGTTTCTTTACCCCTCATTTCAAGGAAGAGCTTTGATCAAAAGGGATCATTACATGGCAACACCATAGTTGCACATTCCCAGAAAACCCCAGAAACAGAGGTCACACCATATGTTGCCATTTAGACCACCATGTGCAGTTAGTTTCACATTTCTCAGTATTTGTTCCAGCTTTTTAAGCCACACAATAAAGTAATATACGAAGCTGCTGCTTTCCAAGCATGTTCTTGTAATGCTTTCTGGGCTCAGTGCTGTTTCCATTTGAGTTAGTCCCAGTCTCTTTTATCTGACTAATACAGGACTTATTTACTCATTCTCTTACAAATAAGGTTACTACATTTGTAATTAATTCTACTGTTGCAGTGTAGCATTCCTCTTAAGAGAAAACCTTGTGCCAGCAGACACTAGACACTTAGTATCTAGTTCTATTAAGAGAGTGTGAGAGAGGTGCTACAAAGTTTATCAGTTCTAAACTCAAAACTGCAAAAAGAAGTCCATGTTTACTTACATTTTAAAATTGCTTTTGCAGGTTTATATTATGAAAAGTGACAGTGAAAGGGATCTTGAGGAGGTTTGGGGTTTTGGGGTTTTTTTGGGTTTTTTTTGTCCAACAGTGTCAAAACCCAACAACATTACCTTCTAAATGCAGAGCATGATGCCCTGCAAAATAGACCAGAAATGTATCCCAGACTCTAGTTAGACAAGGCACACTTGTGGAAAGTGTAGTTTTTTGACTTATTTACCTAAATTGAGAATTCATTCAAAAGAACTATGAGATAATGATCAAGATAAGGGTCTTGACTGATAACATGCTACACAGTTGCCACAATAACTTGAAAGAACTCAATTTTGCCTGCTTTGTCAATTCTCCAAGTTGCAAACTAAACATGTTACAACTTCAAATTTTAGAAATAAATTTTAATTCAGATCCACAAGTCTGTTTTGGGTTTTTTGGGTTTTTTTTTTGTTTGTTTGTTTGTTTTTTGTTTTTTGTTTTTTTGTTTTTTTGTTTGTTTGTTTTTTTTTTTTTTTGTTTTTTTTGTTTTTTTTTTTTTAAGAGGAAATCAAAAGAGTAGATATTGCTAGAGCAGTCTTTCTTTTCTGGACATACCGTATGGAATAAATACATTGTGCAGGTCATTTTGCCTTTACTTCACAGTACAATAATGCTTTGTTTGTCCTAATGAACAAAACAGAAGATAATCCTTTTAAGCAGGTCTGACCCCTCCACAGCCTCCCACAAACAAGTGCACCTAAAAGTGAGGCTATGAAACAGAATTTTTGCATACTAAATGTCATTACCTCTTGAACTTATCTAATATAAAAATTCCTTCAATATATGGCATACTAGCCCTCAATGTCATCCAGCTGAGTACAAGGGCATTCTATTTTGCTTATCTATTGAAAAAAAAAAACCCTGTCAAGCATTTCTTAGACATGGCTAGATTTTGTTTTTAAACAAAATTATTAACAGAAGTATTCTAGTGACCGAAATAGTGAGTGCACAGTGTTGGCAAAGGTGAAAGATGGGTAACTATCATAAGGCAAATAAAAATCTACATACAGAGTTGTTGTTCTTCTGCAATGTCAGCCATTACACATAAGGTGTAAGACTTAAACCTATCCTTCTTGCTGTCACTCCTGCTATGTACACAGGCTTTTGAGTAATACTACCCATGAACAGCCACCTTGTAGACAAGACATTTCTTGAAATGTGTTGTAAATATTAAATGTATTTAGACTACAATACTTTCAGGAACATGTTCTAATCTGCAGGTGAAACTTGCAAGAACAGCTGAGAGATTCTCAAGTGTCAGCTCTGCCAGAAGATAATGTTTAGTACATGAGCTAATCCACAGTGTTACAGAAATTAACAAGCATCTGCACTTTGATTTCAATCTGAATGCTTTCCAAAAAACACAGATGTGAGATCTAGAGCTTCTACAATGAAACATACTCATAATACATTTACCAGAAGCCAGCAAGACTTCAGGAAGCCAAAGATGGGTAAAGGAGACAAGAAGTTGTCTCACCAATATGAGTGAAGTGCAACCACAGTATCTTACATGCTTTGATCTAGCTAGAACACTGCACCTTTACTGCGGTTACTCTGGTATCAAATACTTCACAAGGTCTAGGAGCCAAAGTATGTATACAAAGTTTATCCTGGATTGTACAACCACGATGAAGCCAAGGATGTTATCTTTACTACCCTTACTTGTAGCAGTCAGATGACAGTTAATACAAATACACTGATGCACTTGCTGCGTACAATGTAGTCAAACCCGAGGTGGTCTGTGAGAAGATAATGGGATACAGTCATGGCTGACAGCAGAACTTTGGAAACACTATTTGCAAACAAGACTTAAACCATCGTGTAGTGCTATATACTACATACATTCATATATAAATACAAAAAAGAAATAAAGTACTCACCCTAACTTCATAAACATTATCTGAATAATCCACAGTCTGGCAGACATAGCTGTACCCTCGAGCTCTTGATGACAAAAACAGCTGAAAATATTAAAGTCACATGAGGGGAAAGATGTTATATAAAACACATTCATAACAATTATCAGCAATTTTTTTGCTACATCAAACTTACTTGAACAGAAATACTTAAAATACCCTTATCAGCCCTGAGAATACTATTGAAGAAAGCCAATATGTAGTTTTAACAACCTGTTGTTACACAGTACCTATTTGTTTCTTGTAAATTAAAAAGTACTAATTTTTCTCTGCATGCATCTGCCAAGATAATTAGAGTCCCATACAAATTAGTAAGAATTCCAGTATGACCTTAAGCTGTTCAAACAGGAGTATTCCCTCTGACGACTCCAGCTTCAGAGACAGAAAATACCTAATTGTTTTCACTATGAATGACAGAAATGCTATTCCCATGATGGATTTGAGAGAACTCTCTCCAAGAGTCAGGGATTAGACAATTTGGATCTACTATTCTTAGAACAGTACACAAATCAAAATTCAGGAAAAAAAAAACAACTCCAAAAACCCTGAACAGCCAATGCTGAGCACTCATAAGGATGAAGAAAAGCTCCCTATTTCATGCCAACAGAAATGGCCTAAAGCACATGAAGTGCTCCTGTAAGGCCACTCCAAATAAAGCACGTTGCAATAACCTGAAGAAAAGATGAACTTGACATTTGAGCAAGTTCCCATTGGAAAGAAGAACTTTTGTAGACTTGTGTAGAGCTGTATAAGGTTCAAGTAATACTTCTAATCTTGACATTCATAAATGTTATGATCCAAGACTGTTTAAAGCCAGGAAATTCGCCCTGTTAAGCATCGAAAAAATACAGCAGTGGAGCAGACATAACCTGTAAATTGTGATCTGTAAAAATAAAGAAGGGTGATAGAAAAAAAAAAAAAATCTTCAAAATAAACATGGGTAGGCACTGACTATTCTTACCACTAACCTGACTTCCATCTTATTTAGATTAAACTTACTTTGGTACCTCATCTTGCACACAGCACTAGTAGTGCAGTCAGATGCAGAGACAAGTGTTATCCAGGTAAAACCAACATATAAAACCTTATGAAACTCTGGACTTACTGGTTGCACTTGTCTGTTAAAGTAGGGAAGTCAAACAAACATCCACAGAAATGATGCTAAGAAAGAAATTGAACTACCTGTGCATCATCCAAGTCCATATACAAACAGCTGTACACCACTACTCCCCAGTGTGGTCCCACACAGGCACGAACAGATTTGATAGAATCAGAGAAGAGCAGGGAGCAGCTTAGTCCGCACTGTTACAGAAACCAACCAACCTTTACTGGGACCTACTGGGTAATTTGACCAAAGTTCACTTGGCAAAAGGCAGTAAATTGACTTCATCAGACTGCCTCGAAGTACAATAAGAAATTCAAGTTTTTGTGGCAAAATGGGGGCTGTGCATCCGAGACTTGTGCATGTTCTAAGCAAAATTTGCTCCTAATTTGCACATGAATTTGAGTTCAATGCATGGGGGGAGTCTTGGACAAGACAACCTAGCAGTGCTTTATGGACTTACCGTTTTAATGTAAGTTATCGCAGATGAACAATACAGCTTGCCATCAGGATAATTATTTTAATAACACTTAGAGGCATTTTACATTCAAATTCTGTTCTCAGCAATACCTGGAAACTTTACAGTCATTCACAAAATACAAACTGTGTATCATTTTACTCATAACAATTACATTACTTATACAAACTACAACAGTGGCACACTGGTATTGTAGATTGAAGCAGAAGTTGCCTGGTTAAAGGGAAAAAATGAATCTTGAACATCTTCCTCCTATCAGTCTTTAAGATCAAGAAAAGACACTTCCAGTAAACGTTTTATCCATAGCCTTAACATCCATTGAATAACAACCTACCATTTGAAATAGCAGGAAACTAGAATCTCTGTCTGTGTCTAAAACTATGAGCTTTCAGCCTATCAGCAGCAAACATGTAATTGCAATCACGTTCAGTTAATTCAGGGATTTGGAAATGCCATACTAACACATGGGTTATGCCATAAACAACATTGGTTTGAAAAGTAATCGACCACAAGTCTGGTATAATTCAGCTTATTGACAAAACAAACCAATTTAAAAGAATAAGTGAAAAAGACAGAAAAGGCAAAAACACTGCAGAAATCATTTCAGAGGAGTTTCAGTTTTAACCTGCCAAGATGACTGGATTTCATCCATTCCCACAACTATCTTTGGGTGTTAGCATTAAATTCTGTTGTACCTGTAGTATTTTATTACTTAATTGAATAGTGGAAGGAAACTATTTAGATAAAATGATGACTGAGGTGTGATGGCTAAAACTTTACTGAACCATATCTTAGAAAAAAAGGCTGAAATCAGTTAACAATTTTGTAATAGAAGCTCTGGGGAAGGGTCAATACGCAGATCATTGTCAGATATGCCATGCTTTCCTGGCAAAAGCACAGAACAGACCAGCCAGAAACAGAGTCCTGCAATGCTGTAATTTTAACTGCTCTGTTATTTGCTTACTTCTGGAAACAGATTTTGCAAATTTACAATCCGAGTTCTTCCAGGAAGAAGATTCTCAATTCACATGGGTAAAGTCACAGCAGCACGAACTACTCCTTAGCATCAGCTATATTCTGGTCAGCTATCCTTGAATAACGATTACCAAACTGTTAAGTAATCCCACTTAGCTACTGCTAAAGAGCTGATCCACTGAATTGTTACTAGTAATTTCCTCTGTACAAAAAAAATGTAACAAAGGAGAAATGCAGCAACACTGAAATTTATTAAAATTAACACACTCAGAATGTTGCAAACCAAATATTAGAAGAACTATATCCTTTTATTTTTATTTAAAGATACAGTTCACTTATTTTTTATTCTTATTCTAAAAGATAAGATACCTTTCCTCACTACAGATTATAGACATTTGAATTTCTAAAAATTATAAACACAACACCAACAACAGCTCAATTTCTAAAACTCTTTAGGATTATTAAAAAAAAAATTTCTAAAAATCAGTTATAAGTGTTAAATCTAAGGATTTTAGTTAATTTGTCCAGTATTTACACTAACAGAAATCTAAGAAGAACTTGGAATAGCTAGTACACAAATTCTCTTTACAGACCCATTTAGAGCATTTATTCTCAAAACAGAACATGCCTAGTTACAGAAACACTCACATAAAAGGCAAACTCGGCTTTAGAAGTCTGTGCAAAACATTCACCCTCAAAAGACTCATTAACATCTAAGATTATTTTTATTTTGCAATCTGTAGACACCCTCAGACTTAAATAGGAATTCCCTCCTGTGAGAGGGCATACACACCTCTTTGAAAATGTAGAAGTTGAGTAGAACCATTCCAAAGTTGTAAACAACCAACAGGAAACGTAACTGGAAGGGCTCTCTTGTCTTCATCCATTTGGGGCCCAGCCAGACAGTGAGGAGATAAATAGTGCTTATAGTCAGTGTTGGGAACGGAGACTGCATCAAGGGCCAATCATCAACACGTTTGTCTGGGGGAGGGGAAGCAAACAGAAGGAGTCAACAAGGTCTGACAAAATATGTTTTCATCATTATTTTAAGCATTCCATTTGTTAAGTATTATTCTCTCCTGGAATAGCTGCATCAGATAGCAGCAACACAATACACGCACTCTTTCTAGGAAGGTTAAAGAAAATAGCTTTAAAAAAACCCTCTGTATCACATTACCTCACTCAGAGATTCATTATGTCATAAATTTTATTGTCCAGTTCTACAATCCAATCCATTAAAGCACACAGCATCATGTGAGCCCAAACCCAACCCACTAACCCCCCAAGAAACAATTTTGCTTATGATGAATAGTGATTGAAGCAACCAAATATTCAACACCACTACAAATGAAAGAAATTTGGCAAAATAATGATAAAATTAATGGCTTTTATTAGTTTAAAATTAGACACCAGAAAGTCTCCAATTAATTTAATATCATAGAATGGTTTGGGTTGGAAGGGACCTTAAAGATCATCTAGTTCCAACCGCCCTGCCATCAGCAGGGACACCTTCCACTAGACCAGGTTGCTCAAAGCCTCATCCAACCTGGCCTTGAACACTTCCAGGGAGGGGGCATCCACAGCTTCTCTGGGCAACCTGTTCCAGTGTCTGGCCACCCTCACAGTGAAGAACTTCTTCCTAATATCTAATCTAAACCTCCCCTCTTTCAGCTTAAACCCATTTCCCCTTGTTCTGTCACTCCCTGCCCTTATGAAAAGTCCCTCCCCAGCTTTCCTATAGCCCCTTCAGGTACTGGAAGGCCGCTATAAGGTCTCCCTGGAGCCTTCTCTTCTCCAGGCTGAACAGCCCCAACTCTCTCAGCCTGTCCTCATAGGAGAGGTGCTCCAGCCCTTGCATCATCCTGGTGGCCTCCTCTGGACTTGTTCTAGCTGCTCCATGTCTCTCTTGTGATGGGGGCTCCAGAACTGGACGCAGTACTCCAGGTGGGGCCTTACGAGAGCAGAGTAGAGGGGCAGAATCACCTCCCTCATCCTGCTGGACACGCTTCTCTTGATGCAGCCCAGGATACGGTTATTGGCCTCTGGGCTGTGAGTGTGGATTACTGGCTCATGTTGAGTTTCTCATCCACCAGTA